ACATCCTTGCGAATATAGCACAGCCTCCCTAAAGGTCGGCAGTCCTCACTTCCTACACATCTGACGATGATGACCAAGTAGAGCGACTGCACGTATCAAAAGTCTTCGTTCCCCTTGACCCCGTTGGTGCCTTCGCCGATCGCGGCCCATACCGAGGCGCGGTGAATCATTCAGCTCTATATCAGGAAGTGGGAGAAAAAAAAAGGCTACACGGAATACAAAATGGTTTGTAAAAATTTCAACCTCTTATAAGGCGACATGACTCATTGTTTCCCATAGAACAACGTTTGATGGCGAAACGAGCTTATTATACTCTGAAAACCTTGCCATTTGCCTGTTGAAAAAAAAATTGTTCGTTTTAACTTTAACATTCGTAACATGCATTGTTTTCGCGTTAACAGTAAAACTGTACAGTAGCAAAATAACGTATACGTAATACATCTTGACTTCAAAAATCCTTTTTTGTTTTTTGTTAATTTCAGTTCACACTACTTTACTTGTATGAATGAAAAAAGTATTCAAAACAGGTTTAATCAGCACGAGGTTTTAATTTGTTCTTATCATTAAAGCAATCAGTGTAAAAATTGATGGAACATCCCTGGGTCCGCTCGGTATCGCGATGACTTGAAAAAATTCAATCTATAAACCTCGAGTCGGTTTGAAGTCCGTGACCCGACAGAGACGAAAATAAAGAATATGGCAAAAACTTAAAGACAGATAAATGTATTAAGTTGGCGTATCAGGTGGGATGTTTAAACCTTGGTCGTCCAAATATAGAACTAGGCCGTGGTTGTGCGGGGGTTACAGTCACAACAATGCCAAAGGACTCTTTAATGGGACCAATCTTGGCACAGTTGAATTCCAGGGGCTTTGATTTTTTTTCCAGAAATCCAATAAAAAGCCTCGTACTGTCGAGAATGGCCTTTTAAGATTCTTTAACGCCGACGATTCCTTAAGTGCATTCTTATTCTAAGCAATTACTTCAGAAAAATGTGAACAAAAACGAAAGTTTAAAACCTTTTCCTCTTTGCTGCATAAATTCATAAGACATCACATATCATAAAAATAAATTAAGCCACCTGTTTCTTTCCTAGTTCTATAATATATTGATAATTGAAGCTATTGATGATAAAACTTCCTATTAAAGAGTAAATAAAGAGATAATAGAAAAGTCATGACATTGTTTTTGTTTTAAAATTAAATTATACAGAATTTTTTTTAATAAACACGTCAATGTGGTCTATTTGGATGTGGTTACTTCTAGAATTTACAACTGCTGGTCGATCATTACTTCCTTACTAAGTCCCTATTGACCAAATTCTGAATTGTAGTTGAGAAATTTCGCTGTAAATATACTTCAATCTTTGACAAGTTTTTTCCTTAAAGTCCCTCGAGCCTCGCAAAATCTTCATTTTACAGCAATCGCACCGTTGGAAAGAGCATTGAACCTGTGAGAGTCATTTCTTTTATTGTGACATTAAGCAAACAAATTCAAAATAGAAGATAAAATTAAAGAGTTTTCAAGTTCTTGTCTAAAATTTACGTAAATGATTGTACAAATACTGATAGATATTGTACTTTTAAAAAATCGACTTTACTAAATAAGCTTTAAACATATGTAATTATTTTCTGAAATATCTAATCGTCTTCAATTTAAAATTAATTATCCCATGAGCAAACCCATACATAAAAAATCATGTTGATGTAGTCTCCGTTTACGTCAAAATTTGGCCTATCTGTTTGACAACGGTTTATAGCTGCATAAAATATTGAAATGAATTTGTTGTTTTTGGAAAATAAAGATAATATTAACAAACTAAAGTAAAAATCGGCAGACAAATATCGACATAAAAAATGCCAATGTTATCACTGGAATCACAGATAATTCAATTGAACAGACGAATCTCAATTGTAATTGTAATCAAATTTACCGTGATCAACTTTTTATGAGACACAGGGGACTTGATGGAAAAAGGATGTCAATGGTTAAAGCAACCTGAAAAGAGAATTATCTCAAAAACTTGGGAATCAGATTTTGGACAATGGGGACTTTTCAGTCTAATTTAAGATTTAGATTAACCTACACGAGGAAACCCTGAAAGCTAGAAGCTTTAGTATAAATTTGCGATGACATAGTTCCACTTAGAAAAAGTTTGTCATTAAGCAGTCTTGTTATTATACTTTCTATTTGTTCTTAATAATACTACTTTAAAGAACGAATATTATCTGAAAATCCGGATAGTTTGATTTAAAATTTACTCAATCATAAATAAAAGGCATTGCGACTTCCGTGGCCTAGGGCGCTACGCTTGTGGTTCTGTGTTCGAATTTCTGCATAGCTGGTCAAATTTTATTTGGAAATAATATTAAAAAAGTATTGTAGAGTGGTTTGACTCTTCATCCCCAACTCCTTACGGGTAGGTGAATGTTAAACCTATATGACAAAAATTGCTTTACTTTTGTGCCTTGTATTTTGAGGCAAAAGGCAAATATTTATTAATCATCCAGCAATTTCCATTTCTTTCACAATAAAACTTTTTCTCTCTTATCTTAATTTTGTTGTATAAAAGCCGAGGTTTCCAGTCGACTCAAGACTTTGTTCATTAATCAAAAAATCAAACAAAAAAACACCATCCGCGTAGTATAAAATTTAAACAAACGATCAATTGAGATGTTCGCACGTTTCAAGGCATTTTCAACTTGAAAGGACTCGACTTGAACGACAAAAATATGACTGGACCAAACTTGAGCCCAACTCTGTTCAAATAGATTTCGTTCAACTTGCGTTTATCAACAAATGTTGAATCGTGAGAGCCCGCCTTTAAATAACTTGAAAAATAGTAATCCTATTTGTTTTCTGCCCTTTTTATATAATCTATTTCTAGGAGGACTCATGATTAATCTTATTATCTACAACGAAGAAAGAAATACAGGTTGACGTCAAAATAATGTTGTTTGCTTTACAATTACCTTTTCTTGATCTTTTATTAAAAGTAATAATTGCACTAGATTATACAAATTATAAAACCTAGAGAAACTTACTTGTTTTATAATAACTTGTTCAGGACGAAATTACCTCATTTAATAATACAAATTGTATTTGAAAGCAGTTTTTAATCCCTAGGGAAATCCCTGTTTATTAATTTAATTTGGTGTTTGTTATTTTGCTTTCATTATTATTCAATTTATTCGTTAAGAGAAGAAAAAACCTTGTTTATTTTTCCTACAGACTATGTATTTTAACCAGATTACGTTTAAGTGCATTTAAGTCAAACTATTACAATAAAATTTTAAAATTGATTAAATTTTAATTAGATGTTTTTATTAAAAAAATCGTATGTAGGCTAATGATTATTTGGAGATCGAGAGATGCGGTCTGTTGTGACGTAGGTTTTAGAAAAAAAATTTCTTTTTCGTACCACGTTTCGATCTTTATTGAGATCATCTTCAGGGCTCAAAGTGTTTGTTTTCTGTGTAGATGTGTCATTATTAGGTGTCGTTATTACTCTCTCAACACGACACCCAATAATGACACATCTACACAGAAAACAAACACTTTGAGCCCTGAAGATGATCTCAATAAAGATCGAAACGTTGGCACGATAAAGAAAATGTTTTTCTAAAACCTACCTCACACCAGACCGCACCTCACGATCTCCAAATAATCATTTACTAACGGTCACTAAACACCACACACTTGTAGGTATTAAATCCATTTTATTTCCTGTTCCGATTGACCAGATAACTTCTTTCAATTAATTAATGTAAGGTCTTGGTTGAAATGAAAGAGTTAGTGTCACGAGCGGGATTCGAACCCACGACCTTCGGCTAAATACCCCGCTGCTATAACACTTGAGCTATCGTGACTTCGACCCACTTGTAATGCTAACTTTTTCATTTCAACCAATACCTTACATAAAGATTAATTAATTGTAGGCATTAAGTTCAATTTTCAGTAAGCAAACGTTATACAAGGATATACAAACAAATGATATACAAAAAGTTGGAACCCGCATGACGTACGCGTTGTGCGAAACTGTTGCTTTCGTTATATACTTTTTTTTATTAAAAAAAAAACATTTTTTAGTCATAAAGTTCACTTTTCAATATGCAAACAAGGATATGCAAAACGTTGGAACCCGCATGACATACGAGTTGTGCGAAACTGTTGCTTTATATCTGAAGTGACCGTAACATCTAAATGAACGTTAAAAGGTTCAGATATATGTTCAAGGAATTTTTTCCTGACATTCTTTTCGGAATTTATTTCGTAAACTTTTTGATGACTTGCTCCACGTTTAAACAAAACAAGTAGAAAATATTCTAACAATACAACCCAAATTAATAATATTTAATTAATAGTTTAAAAATAAACCTTTTGCTTCAAAATGACAAGCCGCTGGTTTGTTCATAACAGTCCATATCTGGTGCTTCGTCGGTTACATCATGGCAACACTGATGATGCTGAGTGCATTCATCTCACACTAATACCCATTCGGGAGAAAGCAGCGGGAAAATCAATTTCTGCGGTTGTAAAATTGATTTTTTTTTTGCCAAATCACGTACATTTCTTTTAGAAACAATGACATAATTTTGGCATAAGGCGAAAATGCTAGATGTACGTCGTTTCCCGTTTAAACTTTTTACGCTTTCTGATCGTTATCGCCTCGGAGATGTACCGGGAAAGTTTTTCTTACGATTTTTTTTTTTTTTTTTTTTTTTTGAAGGGTTGTCCAGGGTGATGGAAATCCGCCCACTTGCCACAAGTGGGAGTCGCACGCCCATCGGCGCGTGGGCAAGACTTTCGCATTCGCCGTGCCCGATTGGCAATTTTCCACAAATCTTTTATAATTGTCAAATTTAAAATTACAAAATTCAAACGGTTTAGTTAACTTTCTTAATCGGTGTTGAAACCAAAACGCCATCTTGATTTATTATTGTAAAAAAGCGGTCAAATTTGCATAGAATAATAATAAAAACTTTTTTTTTATTTTTTAAAGGAACCAATCAAACAGCAGCACACTTGGGAGGCTGAGCAAGTCGACGAGCAATGTAAGGCACGCGCAAAATGGAGGGACGACCACTACATTCTACAGTGACAGAGGAGGTGTGCAGACCTTGCCAAGAAAGCTTCAAGAACACAAGGCCAAGAAACAGGTTGGTATTTTTCCATAAATTCATAAATCCTCACCTATTTAATACAATTAAATATACCGTGTGGCCCCAATCGATTCAGCCACACTTCCAGGTCTTATAGGAAATTGAACGCTGGGTAAAAAAGGTCCTATGAACCTGTCTCCGCAAACCCTTCAGTTCCGAGCTACAGGCAAAAAAAAACCATGAAAAACAACGTTTTATGACCTTATTCGTGAAATTGTTAGTAAACCGTTAGCCTGACCGTAAAACAGCTCGAAACAGCATTTGTAGAGGATTAATTTCTGCGTCGAATGAGATTAAACCCAGCCTGATTGGCCGAAAATTTCATTTTTGGCGATTTTTCGAAGTTAGGAGGTGAAGGGGTATACAATATTCACCATTTCTGATATTTTTATCAAAAATTCACAACTTGAACACCGTAGCAAAAAATTCTTCAAAAAAACTAAAGAAACCGATTTTTATAATTTTTCAACTTGGGTCACTTTTCTGGGTGTGCGATATAGTCTTGCAGATTCTCCTCTGGTCATTTCCAGGAATTTTGGCCTATCAGATACATTTCAGCTTCTTACGAAGAGACCCACTGCTGACATGGATCAATTTGGATAAAATATATAAGAATTTACACATTACAAAAGACAACTGCTAACAGTTAAAAATTTCTTCATTTTCTTTACAATATCAAGATCTAAAAATAATTACTAATTCAGATTTTTTTACCATTTGTAATTTTTCAGGTCTATGTCACTAGAAGCAATGGAGACAGCACATACTCTGATCGCTATAAGCTCGGAAACAACTCGAACAGCATGTTCAACGTGTCAATTGTGAACAACGTGAGTCCTTCGGGTCCCACAAAGCCTGCAAGAACATACCGTTCCAACCTTCTCAGGAGCAAGAGCTTCAACGTACATGCCGGAGACAGCTACAGAGACAGTAGCAGGTACACATCCAACCCCCATCTGAGCCGATTGGATGAATCGACAGAGCTGAAGAGCCCAGGGCTGATCACGAGCATAAGCCGCAGCACAAGGGATCTGACACACGAGGACTCATTCAGAAAGCCTCTCGGCACTTATGATCAGAACCGTTACACCAAGCATAACGGCTATTCTCGCTCGTCAGTTGACACTAAGAAAAAACTCTTCATGAAAGGTCTGATGGACCGGGCTCCAGAACTATACAAAACACTACATGCAAATGAATTGGATGAGAATAAAGTCGAGCCTGTGAGAACAAGCACTCCTCTTAAGAATGGAAAACTTGAATATAGCACATCTTTCAGATCTAGCAACACGAGCTCACCCTTGGATGGCATCCAGTCGCCGACTTATTACCCTTACAGGAACGATTCGCCTGATGTTAACAGAAGTATCGTGAGACGAGGAAGTAACGACTACACAGAAACAGTCAGTTATGTCACTAAAAATAATGATCCAATGCGACCTTCAGTGACCAACACTGTTCAGAGCTTCACGAAGAAAGTCGTCCCAATGTCTGGAGGGAGAAAGGAGAGAATCGAATCGACCGAAACGAAAACAATTACAAAGAGCAAATTTCGAAGTGGAACACCCGAATTACATTTTGACAATGGTAACAAGTACTCAAATTCAAACGGAGGTGTAATAATAGAAGTTAGAAATACTAGAAAGTAAAAGAGGAAAATGCATTTTTATTCAACATTGTCCTTGAAATATAGGTAGATCGATTAGAATAGATTATGGAAACTACACTCTGTGCCATTGAATAGCACTGTCATAAGAAAACTAAAACCTTGAGACAATTCATTCTACTCTACCTACCAATATTGTACAAATACATGTAAAAACTCAAAAATAACAAGAATAATGTACAATCCTTTTCCCAAAGGAATTTATTAACTTTTGTTTATTAGTATAATATTTTTCTTTCTTTCATTCTTTATTATTATTATTGAAACTAGTGTTTTGTGTGTTTTGGCCAAGATAGAATATTTTACTAAATGTAGTTTCGTCTTTATTTAACTGCAGTTCGATTCTGAAAGTGCAAGTATGTATCAAAGGATTTACATGTAACTATGTTTTATTTAATTTATCAGAAATGTGAACCTAAGTCATACAATATCATAAGACTTTAACAAATCACATTATAAATTAGTTTAACTCAACTATTTCTACCACCTACTATTTTTTATATCATGTATTTACTGAGTAATTCAATATAAAATGTAACATATCCAGCCAGTTTTATTCATCCCTTGTGCGATTCCTCTACTTATGTGCTTACGCCCAACTTCTAAACGTTAATCTATGTTGAATTACAGGTTACAGGTTATTAAGTTTTAATATAGCTAAAATAATCTTATCTTGCAAATCAAATGATGAACACTGCATTTTATTAAATTTGTTCTCTTATATTTTATACCATTTACCACAATCTCTTTATGCAAGTATAATTAATAGCAAGTAGCTCAATACTATAATTAATAATTATATTGCAGTATTTGTGGGGGATAGCTTGGGTGTGTTTTATGTTTGGCCAAGGAGATAAACTTTGTACTCAAGTTTTTCAAATCCTACTCATAAGATATTCAATATAAAACCTCAAGAGCTTACAATTCATGTAGAGAGACATATTTGTAACTCCTTCAACCTGAAGATGGGCATTTGCTTGAAATCTGGATCATTAAACGACAAATGTGTGAGTAGAACCATCATTGACAAAAAGTAGGTTGTGTACACTTAGGTATAAGGACAGGTTAGGGATAAGAACAAGTTAAGTAGGGTTAAGGATTGGAATTTAAGTAGGGTTGGGAATAGGTTAGAAATGGGGATGATTTGAGTTACGTTAGGGATAGGGACAAGTTAGGTTAGATAGGATTAAGGATAGAAATGAGTGAATTTAGATATGGTTAAGGATAGAGATGAGTTAGGTTAGAACTAGGGATGAGTGATGTTAGGCAAAGTTAAGGATAGGAAGAGTTAGGTTAAAAATGGGGACAAAAGGTAGAAATAGTGACGAGTTTGGATATGCAGGGTTAAGGATATATGAATGAATTAATGTAGGAGAAGGGATAAGGACGTTAGGTTAAGCAGGGTTAGATGTAAAGAAAAGTTAGGTTAAAAATAGAGGCAAGTTAGGTTAGAAATAGAGACAAATTAGGGTAGGCAGGGTTAAGGATAGAGAAATGAGTTTAAGCAAGAGTAGGGATAAAGACAAGTTAGGGTGGGGATAGGGATGAGTTAGGTTAAAAATAGGGACGAGTTAGGTTAGCCAGGATGGTTTTTTTACAAAAGTGTTATTTTCAAAGAGCTCCCAAAAGGCAGACTCACTTCTTTTATTAGGGCCTTGTAAATGTTTTTCATTGATATTGTTGTTGATAGAGACGAGTTAGGTTAGAAATGGGATGAGTTAGATTAGGAACAGAGACGAATTAGATTATATTGGTTAAGGATAGGAAAAAGTGAATTTAGGCAGGGTTAGAGATAGGGGCAAATTAGATTAGAAATAGGTATGAGTTAGGGTAGGCAAGGTTAAGGTTAGAGAAACATGAATTTAGGTAGGGTAGGGATAAGGAAAAGTTAGGTTAGGCAGGGTTAAGGATAGGGACGAGTTAGGTTAGAATAGAGACAAATTAGGTTAGAAATAGGGGTGTTTGGTTAGGCAGAAGGGATAGGGATGAGTTAGGTTATGTAGGGTTAGCATTTACTAAAAAAGTGTTATTTGCAAAACGCTCCAAAAAGGCAGACACCCTCTTTTTAGGGTTTTTTAAACCTTGTCAATAACATATTCTGTATAGCATATAGCTATGAGGAAATAACATCATTTACTCTTTTTTCCCTTATGCTAAAAAGGATATCTCACCAGTAATAAATAAACCCAAAATAATAAATAAGTCAAGAACGTATATTGCTGAATTCTACAGTAATTGGTGTTTAAACAAACAATACATCAATTCAAGTAAAATACACTTAAGGTGGGAATACAATAAACACCAATAATGAAAAATTTGCTTTTACAACTTTATTTTCAAAAGTTTTAAAGTATTTTTACTGTGTGCCCCCATTCAAGGAGGATGAAATATGCAATATTTAAAATGCAATCCTTTTTGTTTTTGCTCTGTCTTATTTTTATTTAAATAATAATAAGTAAATATACCTAAGGTAAGTATAAAATGTAAATAAATATAAAATCCTATTTAAAAATGACCAAATTTACATTTATTAATGTAAAAATAAAAAGGATTATTTTTTAAAGCAATAATATAAATGGGATAATAAAATTTTATAAAACTAAAAGAAATAAGTCACTCCCTGACCAAGTAGTTTATAAAGCAATCCACTCACCACTTTATTTACCTTTAAGAATAAAAACAGCGGGAGTTGTATAATCACAACGACAAATTATTTGTTTCCTTGTACACAGGGCACACATTATGATTAAATCGTTACAAAAAACAGGGTTTTTTTTCTTTTAAATAGTGACTAGAACTGAAGTTCCCTAATTTAAATATTTAAGATATAAAATAAATTAATCACAGTGTCTTTTAATTAATTTATCACTTTTATATAACTCATTTAACTTTATGTAGTAGTAAATATGTATTTATTTCAGACAGTATAAATATGTTTGGAAGATTTAATTAAAATAATTCTTTTAAAAATGAAGAATTACATACAAAAGGAAATGTTAAAATCATTTGTTTAAAAGAATCATCCTTTCACAGATGTCCATATCATAGAATTTCCGGGCTTGCACTTTTAAAAACAGCAAAATTCAAGAATGTACAATGTATAAGTACAAAAAATAATAACAACTAACAAAGAATGTTATCAGTCTTATTTATGCTAACAATGTATATTGAATGTACTGTAAAGGTAAAACTTTGATTTTTTTTTTAAACTGAATTAAACAATAATGAAACGTAAAAATGTCAATAGAACTCTTTTTAAAAATGTGTACAAATGAAAATTTTAAATTTTAAAACACCATTAAGGAGGATATAATATGAATACAAATAAACAAAACTAAATTATTTGGCTTTACAGTAAAAAATAAATAAATATAAACCTAAGTAATACCATGATTTACAGAAAACTCAATGTTACAGTCTGTCAATTTGACATGACATTAGCTTTAAAAAAAAAAAATAATAATAATACTTTGATTACAATACTCTTTCGTTTAATTATGTACAAACCTTCAGCCTCAAGTTTGTGAGGTGAAGTACAAAATATACATTTACACGTTATCGTGTAGTATTAAATTCATTTTATAAGATACGTACATAATGTATAAAATTCCGTTATAATATACTTAGTTTATACCCGATGGGAAAAGAAATAAATCTTGAACTATCGAGGACAAATCTAAAGAGAATGGTTTCATCACAGTCTTTTTTTCACCTGTACACTCGTGTCTACGAAGGCTGACTTCGTCTGGAAACACTTGTGAACAAGATTGGCAGGGCGATTCCTTGGCTAAATCGTGAGCAAGCATGTGCAGTTCTAAATCAGTTTTACGTATAAACTTTTCATTGCATATCTGAAAACCAAAATTCGATATTTTTTTCTGTGTGTTAAATTTTGGAGGATATGTTTTAAAAACAAAACAATAATACTAACACTGCAATCATGTAGTTGTTCTCCTTCTTGTCCATGGCATTTTTTCAAATGTCTATCATAGTTTGCTTGTTTGAAAAATATTCGATTACAAAGAATGCACTCAATTTTACTAGTGCCCTGTGGAAAAAATAATATTAATGCAAAGTTAATAATAAAAATTGATAAATTAAACTACTGGTGGTTTTAAAGGTGGGACGACGGTTGTAATTTTCTCCTGGAATTCTATTGTGCTATCCTGTATATTCGGATCGCATTCTAGATCTGGCAGTATCCCCTCGACATCAGGCTGGTTTTCGAGTGCTCCGCTCATCGACAAGATCGTGTAAGCTGACTTTTCAAGGTCATTCGTGAGAAGACCGCTCTTGATTGCTTTCGCCAGAAAGTCGACTGTGGGTGTCGTGTGGCTTGACGTGTATGGGTGGTTTTCATTTAGCGTCAATAGGCCATCCATTGACAAGACATACTTTGTGGCTTTCACCTTTTCAGCACTCAGGGGTGGCGGTTTCTGTTGTCTAATTTCAGCAGAGCTTTCCGAAGGCATTTCACTCATGCCAAGCGCTTTGAACAGCTCAGACTGCTGAATCCCTTGCTGCTGTGAAGCATGTCTGAGGTGTGATATCAAATGGGCTTTTTTATGCCCTGATGTTCGGAATTTCGCTTTGCAAATTGGACATGAAAAAGGTTTTGACCCTAAAAGTAAATATAAGCATCACATTACAATGCATTAAAATTAGACAAGAAATAACCTCACCAGTATGAAGTCGCATATGCAACTTCAGACTACCAGGCGATGCAAATAACTTCTCACAAATATGACACTTAAAATAATTGTCCTTTGTGTGCGTTTTTATATGGCAAGCGGCTGTCGATTTTAAATTAAAGCTTTTATCACAGTCAGGGCATTTGAAAGGAAGTTCTCCCGTGTGGATCCGAAGGTGACGCACAAGATCAGAGGGCTTTTTGAAGCTCTTCTCACAATGTTTGCATTTATTTCTATGCTCGACGGGAGGTACAGCCTTTGGACTCTCCCTTCCCTCTCGGCCCTCTTCATCCCCATTTTCCTGCTACACATCAAAATTTTATTAGTAACCAATTTTAAAAGTATAAGTAAAATGAATAAAAATATAAAAGTACATCTTTAATCCGTTCATATTCCAAAATGGCTTCGTACAGGACTTTTTCGGAAAATGTTGATGGAGGGGCCATTGTTGCGGCTTTTCTCTCCTCGTCGGTTAATCTCTTCACATCAGATCTCTTCCAATTGTGTTTCTTCTTTTTCTCAGTCGCACCAGTAAAAGTATCTCCTGGGCTAAAATATGCCGACAGACATTAAAATCACTTTAAAGTTTTTAATCAATGTTGTTAGGCCAGCATGTTGTAGCAGTCCAATTGTAATCAAAAAAGAAACAAGGGGAAAAAGATATTACGCCTGGGTATGAGTGTTTGAAACATCCCAAGCCAAAAAATCAATGATTTAACTAATTTACATAATATTTTTAAAATACGATTTTCTACTTTTGTTGTGCATGTTTTGAGATTATTATATATTAGTTTTAGTTGCTTTTTTTATTTTTTTTAATAATAATAAATACGATAAGAATATAATACACAAGATCTTATTAAATAAATAAAATGAAAAAACAAAAATCCATTTTCACTAAAGTTGCCCAGTTGCCCAAAATATAAATTGTTTCTGGAGAGGGGAAAAAAAGTGCTTGCAAAATTGTATTGTTTGGTCACAAAATAATAATGTATTGCAATTTTTGCTCTCAAAATTTTTGGTATTCCAAATGGCTCCCATTTTTTATTTTATTTATTTGTTATTTACTTATTTATTATTTCATTTATTTTTTTTATTATTGTTATTATTATTAATTTTTAAGGGCGTTTTAATGGTCATTTCACGCCCTAACATCCCAAACCTTCTATCTTAGTTTAGCTATATCCCTTCTGAGTGCTAAAAAGCTCTGACTCCAAACATTCACTCGTAAACTAATTTATCCTATTGCCATCCAAGCTTTAATTTATCCTCTTAAAATTCTTAATTTGGAAGGCCAAATGTATGCAAAAATCACATTTTAAATTATATATAAAATTTATTTTTTTAAAATTAGAATTCTGAATTTTCGTTCCATAATTTAAACATTTCCCATAGGCTTGTATGGCTAATAATAATAATAATAATGGAGTCAGACTAGCAACAGTCTCAGCATCAGTATAGGCTCATCCTTATTATTTTATTCTTCCATTCAAATATGATAAATAAACTAATTCTACATAATGACAATAAGAAACAAAACAATTTTTTTTTTTTTTTTTTTTTGAGGGAGCTTTCTTATTTAAATTGCGATTTTTGGCATTGCAGTTTATTACCCCGCAATTTGTAGTTTCTTCCATTTCATTTTTCCGCTCCGGCAGCCTCAAAAATTTCTGTTTTATTTTTTTAATATCAGAGCTGAAATTACTGCATTGTCGGCACCCTTAGGGGAAAAAAATAAAAAATTGGCAACCGAGGCTCCCCTTATATGTTAAGCAGAAATCTTATTTATTTGCCACATATTTTCTTACTCAAGTTTCTTCCCTTTTGGTAAATATATTTAATAAATGTAAAAAATCCTCAGTAGATATAATTTAAAATAAACTAAAAAATTATACAAACTGCCAAAAATAAGAAGTATAAAACTAAGAAAATTAGGCAAATAAAATAATAATCCATCATCCTCAGTTACCTTGCAATAATGTTGTGCATTTTGCAGTGTTCTTCAATTTGTTCAGGAGACTGGAAATTTTCATCGCATATCCCACACGAAAACCAATGGTTTAAAGTGTATCCTTTGCTATCCTATTAAGTTACCGGTAAAAAAAATTAGTTTTTTTTTTTTCTAGAATATGTGCATAATATTGAAACTAGCCTGGAAAATTTCACTCGCCTCGAACGGTTTGCTAGGCAAGCTCTGCTCGACGAAGTCTGCCTGGGTCCCTTCCGTAAACTCTTGCTCATCTTCATTCGACTGGTTCAAGCTTGTATTTATGAAAATGTCGTTCCTAGTAAAAACACATAATTGTTTACCATGAAAAGACAACTGATGTAAGTTTAACGTCAACCAGTGCAAAACAAAACTTACACAGTAAATTTCAGTCTATTTAATATTTACATTTTCAATATCTGTCGATTAAATTAATATTTCACTTTATATAATTATTTATAAAGGTTAAGAAAGTTATTTTTTGACCTTACCACTTCTCGTATAACATTTATGTAACCTTACTCAATCAAAAAGTAAACTTAATTTAATTTCTTTAGTAAATTACCTGTCAATGTCTATTAGAATGTCATTATCTTGGGCAGCAGTTTCCATTATTTTACTCTCTTCGCTCTAGAATAGTATTGACACTAGTTCAATATTCTTATTTATATTTTTTAAAACATAAACTAAACAATTACATCAAAAACGTTGCTTCCTTCTAATTTACTGTCTAAGTCGAGACCCGAAAGATCCGGGCTTTTTTGGACAAGTCCAAGGGCGACCAGATTGTCAAGCGACATTTGCGAAACATCACATCTATAAACGAAAGCAATATTTAATTCATTTAAACACCATCAATAATTGGTGTAATAATAATTATATTAAAAATCAGTACTTATCAAGGTTAGCCTCAGGTAAAATCTCAGGCAAGCTATTTTCAATCACTTGAGGTGTAACATCCATATTATCATTCTAAAATTATGAATAGTTAAAAATAAGTTGTATATAAATTAATTTTAAAATTGATTTTTAAACAAAATAAACCAAAAATTTACCTGAAGAAAAATGCAGCCATCAAGTTCGTTATTTACGGTGATCAACTGATGGTTATCCGAATCGTACAAACTCTGGGAATATGTTTTAATTAATAAAAATATACATTAAATTAAAATTAATATATAAATGTATATAAATCATACTTCGGATGTAGTTTGTGGTGCAGGTTCAGGCTTATTTGAATCGAAAAGGACTTCTCCATTTTGACCTGGTGCAATTTATAATATAAATAAATTTAAAAAAGACATTTCCCATAAGGTATTTATTGTAAAATTGACAATCTGATGCTCACTTGGGATCATAAATTGTTGCCCCAGTTGTAAGGATTTGATGAGTTCGGTTAGATCACTTTGGAATGAATTGACATCAGGTTTCGACAGGGGTACGGATTCGGCATCGGGTTTTTTACCTTCTTGCTTTTCTTGTGGAACGTTCACCATTTCAAGCTGGTGGATTTCCAAGGATTTCAAACTGGCCTGTAAGTGAAATAATTCAATGTCATACAACCACTGAGTATTTGTATTTTAATAAATATAATTGATTAATATTGTGTGTGAAAATTTAATATAGAAAAGTAAAACTGTTTTGGTCTAAATTCATTGTTATACTCTTCAGAAAAATAATACACTTTGTTTTAATAATATAATTGTTATTTACTTCACTCTTATGGATTATGGCGTTGTCTAAATTACAGATAAAAATCAGCACTTTCTCTTGAGTAATTCTGACTCTGTTCATCCGCCTTCTACTAGTAAAGAATTAATTTAGGAGGTTCTTCACCCCCTTTTGCTCTATTTTCCTCCTCATTAAAATAACCCTAAAGTCACTGAGTTTATTTTTTTAACCTCCTCCCATTTACAGAGATGCATTTACTGTTTGTATATAATTTTATTCATGTACAGTGTAAACCCGTTTATCCGGAACCGTTTGTTAAAATATTTTTTATAATTTTTTCATATTTCTCAATATATGAATATTAATTTTTTTAAATTCATAATTCAACTATGGGACCTTTAATTCGTTGTTCGAAGTTCATAAAGGCCACCAAATCAAGGCCCTTTCACTAGTCAGACGATCAAAGAGGCCAGAGAGGGCGACAGTCCCGTTTTTGTTTTAAATAAATAAACAATAAAACAAAATAAAAAAGGTGTATCTTATTTTAAAAGACTAGAAATTGTGGTGTCGTGTTATTCGTATGTTGGCTTTCATTTGAAAGGTTTTTTTATTACATATATTTTTATTAGGCATTTTACGGATAAATCTTTCTTAAACTTTGACTTAAAGAAAAAGAAAACTAATAAAAATTATGTATTACTTTAAATGTAACTTGATATTTGAATAAGTGTTCACTTTCATATGTTTTTCTTTTTTTCCGTTTTTATGACACGATACTAATAAAATCACAAATTTTCAGATTATCCGGACAAGTCCCAGTCTCTTCAAGTCCGGATAAACGGATTTCTACCATATATCAAATTTAATATTATTAATTTTCAATTAGTTATTCTTTTTATTTAGGCTGAAAAAGTAAGGATGCGGAAGGTGTCATTCGATTACTACCTAGGTGACTGGTAAACATTGAATACAGCCCAATAGATGCCGTGAGGGTCCAGCTAGAGCTGAAATAAAGGAGGAAAAAAATATAAGAATGTTATAACTCGGTACAAGGCCCGAATAAGTTAGGCTTAAGAGGTTTTTATCAGATCCCAAAGCTTTTTCAAGAGCTTCCACTGTATCCTTCAAGCCTGGGCTTTTCCTCTCCCAAGAGCAATCTCAGCTTGTGAAGGCTGTCACACTGAGGACATGTTTCTTCTTCTTCCCGGCCATTGTTCTATACAGGCTTATATCTATTCCTCTTATAGATATAGAGTTTATAGATATGCCCCCCTTTCTAACCCTGTGATGTTTACCTTGTGTTCTCTCATACATTTTCAAGATATTGTTAATTAATACAGTTACTCTTTGGGTTAATTTGATGAATAATGCACGAACCTGAGAGCTGTGTGTGGTAATGTGCTTTTGACAGGCAGAAGAACTGCGGTAAGCCCGTCCGCAAATTGGACAACAGTGGAGATACTGGAACGTATGGGTTTCCGCGTGTCTTTTCAGATTGCTCGCCGATGAACAGATACGGCCGCACTGCTCGCATTTCAGCTCCTCTGCATTGGTATGGGTTAAGGAATGTGTCCTGAGCAAGCTTTTACTAGAGAAAGTCCTTTAAAAAAATTTAAAAAAGTAAACAACGGTTCAATTTAAAAACAAAAATCTTGAAAATTTTAACTCACTTGTTGCATGTGTCACATTTAAATGGTTTTTCTGTTGAATAATGCACCTTCATGTGTGCCGTGAGAAGTTCGCTTGAATTGAAGCTTTCCTTGCATTTATCGCAATTATAACTCACTTCAGGTTCAACATTCTGCGAATTTCCTTCAAGAACGCTGTTATCTTGAAACAATTCGATCAATCCTGTTTGGCAAGAATAAATATTAAGAACTTACAATTGAGTCTTAACGACAATTGGAAAAACACCCACCGTCAGGAGATATGACAAATTTAGGATCTTCTAACGTCATGTTATCAAGAGAGAGCAAGGGCTGATCGTTTGAAACGATGATCGACGTTGTTTCAGTCTGGATATGTGTGTTCCTTTCGTGGTTCTCTTTATCGACAAGCGAGTCAAATTTAGACTCGCATTTACTACAACTGAACTGTTCTTTTACCTCAAGTTCCTCTACCAACATCTTTGAGCTAAAAAAAATTATAACATAATCAAAAATTAACTTAAAATGGGAATACTGATCTTACTCTTGTTCCATGGTGTAATCACAGTTTATTTCATTTTCTTTTGTACTGTCAACTAGCTCAACTTGATCTGAATGAGACAAAACATGCTTCAATAATGCAGATTTCATATTGAACTTCTGTGGACATATTATGCACTAAAAAAAAAAAATAATAATAATATTTTTATACCGATGATTAAAAAAGTTATGTCTTGCACTACCTTGAAAGATCTTTCTTTGATGTGGATTTTTGAATGCCTCTGAAGGTCTGAAGCTCTTTTGAACTGCTTCTGACAAACTTCACAGGTGTGGGTCCTCGATGGTGGTTTCACTGTTACTACTGCGATCTCTGAATTATTTACATCTTGGACCGGAGCGAGGTCAACTTCAAAATTGTGAAGCAAGATCCCATCCAGACTGTTGTCCTGCAGTGGTGTCTCGGTGAGCAGTGTTTTCGTACCTAAAAATCAAAAGAATGAGATGTATCACGTGTTTCATTCAATTTCGTCAACTCACCACTGGATTTTATGACTTCTAATGATTCGGCTTGCTGGGTAACTTCTCCTGTAATTATAAATTTAATTAATATAAAATCTTTCATGAGCTTTTTTTTAATCATACCAGTTTTCAAGATTTTTGTTGGCTCTTGCACTGTTTTCTCATCTTCTACAATACAAAAAGCAAATAAAAATTAACAGTAATGAGAAAATGGAACAATTTTAAAGTTACAACTTTTGGAAATGTAAGAAGTGAGTTCACCTTTGATTGATAAATTTTTGTCAAGGTCCTGCGATTTCTGGAATAAAAAAAATAAAACGATAATGAAGGAAATGAAAATAATACAGAAGAGGAAAAAATCAAATTATACAAAATTATGTATAGACGAAACCCCTAAAGTGAACGAAGGAAATGAAACAAAGCAAGAAATAAAAAAAAGACCAAAATATAAAAAGAAAGATGTAAAAAAATTCTACCTTAAAGTACTGTTTCATGTAAATATTGTGAGCTCTCAACAAGTGGTTATTCAAACTTCCCACATTTCTGAACAGACATGTACAATGATCACATTTTAACCTCCTACCTTCTTCCTCCGACCCCTCATGAAGACGGTGAATGTGCGCTTGCAAATTACCTAAGGGATTCATTGAAAAATTAGTCATTTACACCACAAACAAAATAATAGTACAATTTTTAAATTTAAATATTGATAATTACCTTTCTGACTAAAGGTAGCATGGCACTGCTGGCATTCGTAAGGCTTCTGCCCACTATGCTTAAGCATGTGGATTTGCAGAGAGCCTTTTTGTGAAAAGCCTTTTGTACAAATTTGGCACTAAAAATATAAAATAAAACAGTTATAAATAAATTCATAAAATAAACAACCGAAAAATTGCTTTTTCTTTTTACCTTATAAGGCTTTTCCCCTGTGTGTATTCTTTTATGTCTCGCTAATTGACTAGGTTTTGCAAAATGCTTTGGGCAATATTCACACATATAAGCTTTGTCGTAACTTTTTGTAGGCCCTCTGAACCTTTTCTTTGCATTTTTTGTTAACTTGTTCTTAAATAAATAATAAATTAACCAATGATAATTTTAACATATATCAAGTTGTAAACTAAGTTCATAGCGTTTCTTGATTAATTGGGGTAAACTCAATGAAAATTTCAGATACTTTTCAATAAATTTAATCAACAATATATTAACAGTTGGTTCCACAACCTGTTATCATCAATGTAATCTTGTCCTCCCAGAACTTTACAGGTTTTTGAGCGATGAAATTCTGGGTATTTTCTATGGTAAAAAAATTATGTATGTATGAAACCCCCAAAGTGAACGAAAGAAATAAAACAAAGCAACAAATAAAAAAGACTAAAATATGAAAAAAAGAATGTAAAAAAATCTACCATGATGTACTGTTTTATGTAAATTTCTGGAGGGGAAAAAAAGGTGAAGGAAATGAAACTGATACAGAAGAAGAAAAAATAAAATTAAAAAAATTATGTATGTATGAAACCCCAAAAGTGAACGAAGGAAATGAAACAAAGCAACAAATAAAAAAGACTAAAATATAAAAAAATTCTACCATGATGTACTGTTTTATGTAAATTTCTGGAGGGGAACAAAAGGTGAAGGAAATGAAATTGATACAGAAGAAGAAAAAATCAAATAAAAAAAAATTATGTGTGTATGAAACCCCAAAAGTGAACGAAGGAAATGAAACAAAGCAACAAATAAAAAAGACTAAAATATGAACAAAAAGGACATAAAATTTTCTACTTTGATGTATGTATTATGTAAATTTCCGGAATAAAAAAAGAAAATGATAATGAAGGAAATGACAATAATACAGAAGAGGAAAAAAATCAATTTAAAAAAAAAAGTATGTATGTATGAAATCCCCCAAAGTGAACAAAGAAAATGAAACAAAGCAACAAATAAAAAAGACTAATATATAAAAAGAAAGATGTAAAAAAATTCTCCCTTAAAGTACAGTTTCATGTAGTGAGTGATGTAGAAAATTTTGTTAATAGAGTTTTGCAGAGCCCTGAATAAGTGAAAATTTTAAGAAGTAAATAAGGTGAATGGGGGTACATATCCAGCCAAATTCCAACAATTTTTGGCGCATTTGCAAGCTGGCAAGTGTAATCTTGATCAAAAACAATCCCTTGTGATTCATCAATGCTGGTTGTTTTTGTTCAATGCTGACTTTAATCGGTCCTGTTTTTAGTATACACTAGAATTAACTGTTTGATTGGGTGAGAAAAGCTCGTAACAAAGCACCCTCTTCCGGTCCCACCAAATACACACTGCCGTTTTGTCATGTAAACCGGCTTTTGGAATCCTTAACAATATGTCACTGCATTTTACCTGGTATTTTCAACTCTGAACATTGTTGTAAAGGACTTTTTATCCCCAGATATGAACTTTTTAAAAATGGTTAATTACATTGCGCTTTAGAGGGATTCGGTATGCAGTATATATATAATTTGGATATATAATTTTTGTCAGTCAACCCATAGAAAAATGCATCCAGCTGCTCGCAGATACATTGCAATGCTTGTCTCATGGTGAATGTTTTTTTTAATGAAAAGTTTGAATGTGAATATAGGTTTAAGGACAAAAAGGCTTTGCATCTTTCAAATTAATTTCCACTTCTCGACCAAGCAAACTATTTACAATAGGTTTCTCCTAAAGAGGCATCAAAAATTTTCCTAGCAGGCTGAGCTGAAGTTTTCCCTTTGTGGTAATAAAAAAACATTAAATGACAAAAATGAACTAGTTTTTCCTTTATTTCAAACCAAAACCTTATAAAAAATTAAGCTCTCAAAAGAAGCTGGCAAATAAGCAAATAAAAACACTTTAATACCTTTTGAGAGTGTGTGAACAATAATAACTTAACAAACATTGCTTCAAAACACAAGAGGGTTAAAATCAAATTATTGAAAAACGCTATGGATTTATTTTACAAGCCAATAAAATAATTTTTTCAATAAATTACCTTATGCTGAATGTCTTTACAGTGTGTTTTGAAAGCCGCTACGTTTTCAAACTTAAGGTTGCACTGCAGGCACTTATAAGATTTTACCTTTGAGTATTCTCCATTTTTATGTTCTAGAGCGTGTTCGTCCAGTTGGATCTGAAACAAAAATCCGTTTAAGAAAATATTTCAATCCCGAAGTATCTTCGCTGTGTTACCTGGCACGTGAACTCTTCTCCGCACTCTTGGCAAAACAGGCTGTCCTCGCTTTGGTGGACCCATATGTGCGCTTTGAGGCCGGCTATCCTTCGAAACTGTTTCTTACAAACAGGGCAAAAAGGGTTTTTTATGTCATGCGTTGCTAAATGCGGTATTAAATTATACTGAAACAAATTTTAAATAAATTAAACAAAAAGTATAAATGGATGTGTGCAAACTGTACAAGCCATCCACCTCATAATTGAAAGACTCGGGACATTCGGGACACTTGAAAGGTTTGTCCATAAGGTGTTTCGATTGATGCTTCCTATAATGTTTTTTATTTTCAAACTGCTCCCCACATCGATCACACCTAAGTACCCCCTATGGAAAAGCATTAGTAATAAATATAAGAAACATAGAATGTTATGGTGCATATTTCTTTAAATAATTTTTTTTAACATAATTATTATTACATTTTCTTTTAGAGAGGTATTTTCTTGAACTACTTTTTCTATATTCGTTTCTTCCACCTGACCTTCCTGTGAAATTCCTTTCTGGCTGTTACTCTGTTGAACATCATCCGTTTTCTCCCTGAAAGATGAGATGAATTAAAATTAATATTACACTTTACAATACAAAAAATGGCTCACTTGTTTGCATCAGGAGAATTAGGATTATTTAAACACGACTCAGGTGAAATTTGATTGCTAGACGTTTCATTTAATGCTGTAAATAAATTATCTTGGGATAGAAGAACTTGTTGATTGATAATCGGCAGCTGGATTTGAAAAAAATAAATACAATTTATACTTTCTCTCAATAAATAAAGTGCACAAAGTAAAACAAAATACTTACAGCCTGATTACCATCGATAACATAACTAACTAAATTTTGACTCTGTAGGTCTTGTAGAACGAAAGGAATGGCAAGGTACGTAACTTTGTTCCCAAATACAGAAAATTGTCCAGCTGAAAATAAAAAAATAATAATAATTACAAAAAGATAAATGTCAGGATGAACAGAGATCAAACCTGTTCGGGTGGTAACATTTTCTGTGTTGCTTCTGGGAAGATCAGTGCCATCAGTGGTCCTGATTAAATTGGCGTCAAATGGAATAGCAGTGTCTATCAAGCCAATATCAGTCAAAGTAGTTGCCTCCATTGAATATGATTATAGTTGTAATAGCATGCGACTATAAAATCACGTGCAATTGATTTCTAACTAATTCTTCGATAATTTTGTATCAACTTACAAAAATTATTTTAAATCCCTGAAAAAAATCAAAACTGATTACCATCATACAAAAGAAATGTAATAGAAATGATGGAGTGAGTGCGGTGTTCAATCCTTTTTAAAAAGATAGTTCCTACTCACAGTAAGTTGTTTTGCAACGATCCGGAATTTGAGCCCTTAGCTCATCATCAGGTTGAACGATTTCTACAAACACGTCTCTCAACATGAATTGCAAAAGTTTCTTTACGTGAGACGTGGTTATATAAGAAAAGAAATGCAATGTTATATATTTGTGTATAAAAAATAGCAAGTATCTAACTGTTCGATTCCCTTTCTTCTATTATCTAAAATTGTGGAATTGATCCTTCTTTATTTACATACCCCGGAAAGTGCACTACCATTAAGCTAGTTGAGCACTTTCTGTGGTACCTCTTTTCCTTAGGCACCTATTCTGGCCTAACGCTTAGCAGTCACATAGGGCATATGATTCCATTTTTGAACCACATGAACCATTTTTCCTGGTTGAGATGTTAAGGAACTTCTTTGGTTTGCATCTGGCGAAATCATCCAATTTGTGGTCATTCCGAGACCAATTAAACAAGTTAAACTAATTAGCCAACTCCAGTTGTAGGATTTTGTAAACATGAATGGCAATACAGATATTTTTATGACAATGAAATGAATATTTAGTGCAATTAATTGTACTTTTTATCTAAAATCTTGGTTGAGATAAAAAAGTTAGTGTCAAAAGCGGCATTCAAATCCATGACCTTCGGCTCAATATTTACTTGAGCTATTGTGACTTCTTTCCATTCAGACTCCAACTCATGTCAACGTACAACCTTTCTAATTTTCCCTCTTTTTTCCATATTTTTAATTCAGTTTGAATCCCGCTCATGAGACTAACTTTTTCATCTCGACCAAGACTTTAGATAAAAATTACAATTAATTTAAATAATTAAATATGTCAATTATGACCGCTAAACAAATAAGGATGATAGAAATGATAAATTATTGAATGATACAATGATTGATAACGTCTCATTGGCCGGGGGACCGGGGTTTCAGTCATACAATCCATGCCAAGAGACGTGGTTGTAGAACTCCTTCAACCTGATGATGAAGCTCAAAATCCAGATTGTTGAAAACAACTAACTGTGTAGGAACTATCTCTTTAAAATACATTTAGTGTTTGTATAATTTAATTTCAATTTGTTTCCTTTATTACTGTTCTTATTTTATTTATTCACATTTTTAGTTTGTGGTTATTTTTCTCTTTTTTTATTTTTCTTTGATTTAAGTTCTTTGGTGGCATTTTTTTTTTTTTTTTTTTCAATTCACATTTTCTATCATTCTGCACTTTTGTTGTCCTGCTTATGCATTATGCTTCTGTACACATGCCTCCTGGTTTTTTTTTTTTTTTTTTTTCAATTCACATTTTCTATCATTCTGCACTTTTGTTGTCCTGCTTATGCATTATGCTTCTGTACACATGCCTCCTGGAGCATCACTTGCACACAAACTTTTTTTTTTTTGCCTTGTGCAACCACACATCAGCCATGCCGTCAATCCGGGATGTCAAGTGGGGGAAACCGACGGGAAGAAACCGCCGCGAACACAAACTTCAACAAGTTACTAGTGATCAAAAATAGGTTTTTGAGGTTTGTCACCCCCTGCCCAAAATGGACCAGGATTGGGTCCTCCACGAGGTGACCAAAAGGAAGAAAGTTGCCATTGAGATGAAGTCAATAACGCTACGCTTCTTCAGCAGATGTGCTACCAGAAGGAATGCAGAGTAATAGGAGCCTATGACCTTAGTAAGCATTGATGTGTAAAGAACATTCTGCTTCGAGACTGAGCTGTGATTTTTATGACATTTGTGATAATCCTGTGTGATAATAGTGCTGTGCTATTCCTACAATTTTGGCCTGTAAAAGTACATAATCCTTTTAATTATTAACTTACTTGAACCCTCAAAATCTATTTTGTGACTTTTTTTAAATTACTTTTTCTCACTTCTCAAAAACATCACTGTAACGAAACTGCTCAAAAATGAATAGGGATATTTATAATTTGTTCTTATTCTATTAATTTTAATTAAATTAACCGATATACTCGTTAGTTGGATAAAATAAAATAGACAATACAAACAAATAATAAACTGAAAAAAATTAATTTTTGAGAAAATAAAAATAAGTAATCCTAATTTTTAATAACAGATTTACTTAAGAATGGTAAATACGGTTGGTAATCATCAGGTAAACACCGTGGTATCCCAGGCATTAGCCCAATTCTGAGTGACTGGAAGTGCCAATACGAGGCCTGGTAGTGGATCTCAGTGCATTACGATGCTAAGGAAGGACAGAAATATTGTCACTGCAGCAAGACTGAACCCTTTCCATAGTGCCCACCTGATTTTAAAAGAAGTACAAGTTGTTTTGGCAAAGCAATTATCAATCCAAATGATTCATAATGTTTGTGGGAAGTTGGCCTCACATCATATGCCCCTTTGATACAACCTGCAGCAGTGATGTAAAATATGATGCAGCAAGTGCCTGGAAGAGAATTTGAATGCTGCTATGTTTATTGAAGAGCCACGTTTCGGTATGTATAGTGATAGCAGGCGTCAAATAGTCTACCGAGGACAGGGGATGCATACAATGCTCCGATTCGTACTCCCTTCAGTGCACTTTGGATGAGGCGCTGTAATGGTCTGGGCTAGGATTTACACTGGACGATGAATTATTGTTGCAGGCAACCTCACTGCAGTCCATGATGTCCAAGAAATTATCTACGAATACATCCCTCAAACCAGAGATCTCATTGGCAAGGCTTTTCGATTTCTGGATGACAATGCCAGACCTCATAGAGGCAGAGTTGTTCATCAATGTTTAGAAAACCTGGGAATTTCTCATCTGCCCCTTCCCACCATTGCCTCCAGACCTCAATCCCACTGAACACGGATGTGTTGCAGAGAAAGCTTTTCGATCACCATTTGACCTGCAACAACTGAGTGCAGCGTTGCACCCAAATTAGTGAAACCTTATTAACTGTGTGCCTAACAGGTGCACAGAGGTTATTTTGCGCAGTATTAATTGCTTCAAAAAAGTACTCTGTCCTATAAATAAAATTATGGAATTAAAAACTTTTATTGTTATTTTTTAAAAATCCCTTAATTACATTTTCCTTCAGTAAAAACATAATAATCTCTAATAAATGTTAATGAATTTTATTATAAAAATAAACGGTCATTAATCACCACACATTTCTACACAAGAAGAACAAAGAACATGCGATTCTATGAACAAATAAAAATACTAGGAAAAGGAAATGCCACAAAATTGTCAATATCCCTAGTCATTTTTGAGCATTTTATTTACCACAATTTAAACAATCTAAAGACTTTCTGGCTGTAGATAAAGTGGCCCTGCCACTGTCACCCTTGGCAGATGGAATTTTCCATGCCGAAATGGTACTAATTTAGTAGCTGTAATTTAATTGTATATTATCGGATTATAACAAATAAAGTGTCTTTATTATTATTATTATTATTATTATAAACTACAAAAACACTAATTTAGTGATCGTGGGATCTCTTAAATCGCATCATTTCGTTTGATTAGTTGTACTGAACCATTAATTACTGTAAAGAAGGCTCAGCATCTGCACCACCGATGAGTTATTGGATCTACAGAAATCAATACAGAGATAAATGATTGTTTATACTATCAGTTAAAAGATAGACAGGGTTAAGCAGAAAAATAACAATTTAGGCCTAACCAATAATGTTTATAAATAAGGAAATTAACTGATTGTATATTCACCAATTAGATGTAATTAAAACAAAAGGGAGTGTGGACAGATTGAAGTTTGTAATGAAGTGATAAACTTAATCAATTGTTTTTATTAAACTAGACTTAATCCAGTGTACTTTTACACTTTTTATCGGACTTTTTTTTTAAATAGAAAAATCCTCTCGGCTTACCTGTTAATTTGAATTTGGCTGTAATAACGTTAGCATTTGAATTCATCTTAGGCGGAAAATTTCCAAACCGGAGGCGGAGGATCGGCAGCGGGTCGGAGGCTGTTCTCGGATGATGTACCTCGTATGTAAAATAATAGTTCGGCGGCTTCCGCCTTGGGCCTTTTCCACGGATTTTCCTTCCCTGTCCACTTTTCTGGAAAATCCTCCCTTTTTGTTTTTCCTCTTTTTGTTTTTTTGTTTTGTTTTGTTTTTGGTTGAGGTTGTCCCAAAACATATGATGATCAACCGAAGCAGACACAGAGCGAGCTGCGGAGAAGAGTGCAACGCAGGCACAGCCTCAATCATTCCAAACTCGACAAGAGTGACGTCACAGTCTGGAAAATTTATTTATTTATTTTTTAATATTAGGATTAATTCATTTTAGCAAATCTAATTTATATCAAATGAATGTTATATAAAACGCGCCATTATGAGTTATTTGGTGTTATTCACATTGCACACAGACTATACAATGATCGTAATTATAATCAATCCCTTCGAAATTGAATAAACTAGCTTAAAAAATAATTAATTTTGCTTAGGAATGATCATAATCAATTATTGATGAATTGATATCAAAAACTGATAAAGGTCTGTGTTGAAGATAACCAACAAGAAGGTTGTGTTTAACGTAAAGTCCTCGTGGTTTTCAAGTGTCAACATTACCATAAATGCTTTTACATAATAAACTCTATTTTATCTTTTGACACAGACATATCTGACCGAACATGTCGAGGATAATCGTTAAAAACCTGCCTGATTTTGTAAGTACAGAATTTCATTTGCGTTGGACTCCGTTTATAGACTGTTGTACCCCATTTACAGGCTGACACGGCTCAAATCAAGCAGAAATTCCAAGAATTAGGTAGAGTGACGGACGTCCAGCTCAAGTACACGAAGTCCGGCAAGTTCAGGAAGTTTGGCTTCATCGGCTATGAAAACGAAGCGGATGCCAAAGCTGCGATCGAACACTTCAACAAGACCTACATCGGCACCTCGCAGATACAGGTGGAACTGTGCTCTGACTTGGGTAATTAATCTTATTATGATTGTTTTCTTTTTGTGTGTATTTAAAAAAAAAGCCCATTTGTATGAATGTTGGGTTCGAATAAAGGACCACTGGATTTGAACCTGGGACTTTATCATAAGCCTAGTACGCACTGAGATTCTTTAAATTGATTCATGTTGTGGGGCAGAGTTGGGCTGCGTAGATTCTTTGTTGCGATGCAGCCCCGACTCTGCTCCCCGACAAAGAACCATGTCCAGACCAAGATTCAGTTCACATTCATCAGTGCCTGTGAAAATTACGGAGGACGCTCTGTCAGGAATTTCCCTTGCTATTTTCTGCATTGTATGTAGTGAATCCAGTCGGAGGTGCATTAAAAAACGCCCAAAAAGATGGTGGGTTTGACAAATATTTCACGGCGGGAATTAGCACGGGAAAAATCTTTTGGACATGTTGAGATTAAATGATGGTGCAGGGTTCAGAAATTTTTTGAGGATGTCCCCGACCGATTTCGAAACCATTTTAATGAAAGTTGGAGGTCAAATTTCCAAGAAAGATACCAACTTTCGGGAATCTATCTCTCTGGCCAACAGATTAGCTGCCACTCTCCGGTTCCTAGCAAGTGGAGACTCGTATACAAGCCTCATGTACACCTTCAGGATTTCAAAACAATCAATACCAGATTTCGTTCTAGAAGTGTGCAAAACCATCATTCATCGTTTGAGAGAATACATCAAGGTAAGTAAAGAATTGCAAGCAAATAATCAAATATTTTTATGTTTGGAAATTATATTGCTGTAGGTAAGTAATAAAAGTGTAGATAAAAAGGTAAAAATATATAATATAATTATATTGTAATATAATGAAGCAAGAGCGCTTGTTCTGATTCACGTTCGCACTGGCAATTGTTGCGCAACATTGAGTCAAAGAATCCCACATCAGGTGGAATTCAAAAGAGTCCGAAAATGCTAGCGCGCAACACACCAGATTCATCGCAACAATGAGTCGGGGCAGCCCAGATTCAGGCTAGCACAGCCGAGACTTTCCGGAGATTCAAAGAGTCAACTCAAAGAATCCCAGTGCATACTAGTCCTTACTGTGACTGTTGCAGCCACCAACACCCCTTGTTTTTCCTTTAACATTGCTAATAAGCGTACAAACATCTATGAATTCAGTCTGTTTCTATGTTTCTAAAATATATTCTTTAACACTGTTAAGTAAGATTCTGGGAAGGATTATTGGCCTCTGTCTGGTGTTCTCCAGGGACCTCATTCGGGGCCAGTATTGTTTCTTATTTTTTTTCAATGATGTTGGATCAGTCATTAACAACTCTAGATTTTCTCTTTTAGCTGATGACCTGAAAATCTTTGGCCCAACTTCCTCATTTGAAAAATGAAAAAAAAAATAAAAATTTGAGCTTCATTAGAAGGCAGACGGAAGATTTGAAAAATGTACATGCCATAAAAATCCTCTACCAACTACTTGTTCGTTGTCATTTAGAGAATGCTTCATTCAGTCCATCCCTGTTTTTCTTTCTAATCCTAATTCATGAAAATATTTTGCTAGATGTCAAAGTTTTGCTTCATAAGTAAGAATATCTACATTAAGTTGGTAGAAGAATTTTTTTCTTTTTAACAAGGGTTCGCAACAGATGAGGTTATATCATTCCTTGGAGTGACAGTTTTTGAAAAAAAAATTCCATTTGTAAGTATGCCCAACGGTCCCTGCATTCGAACCCGGGATCTTTACCTTAAGTGATGAGCACTGTGTCTACGCCTAAACCATTGCAGTCACTGACACCCTCTTTCATTTTATATTGGAAGGCTATTATTCTAAAGCACAGAATGAAGCATCCTTTTTGCTTTTATTGATCTTCGGGGGAGGGGGGGACTTGTAAGATGGTCGGTCAGAGCCAACGCAAATGTCCATCACTCTGCATTGACTGAGCCAATTCTTGGTAAGAGATATTTTAAACAATGTGGGAAAATATTTGTTTAATAAGTCCTTTATTAACCTCAAAAGGAAATGACCTACATGAGTTCTAGATGTAGGTTTTATACATCTATTTTATACATGTTTCCTTTGTCCGGTAGCTGGAATCCTTTAAAGTTGGCCCCATTTTTCATTTAAGAATATTTACAAACACACACACTATCTCCAGGTCTATAAAAACTAAATGGAGTTCTAGATCTCTTTTCAATCATTTTCTTCACATTGAGTAACAAATATTTTTATTTACAAAACAACGTACAACAAATGTTTGTTATAATCTTTTACTAGGGGGCCGCAGTAGCCAAGAAAACAGCATGGTACACTCTCAGCTGTAGACCCCTTGGTAGTAGGTTCATTTCCCACCATCAACCTGGCCCTTTTTTTCACACTACCTCCCCCCCAACTGCATATATAATATATGAAGAAACAAACATGTACGTACTCTGGCTAATATGTGAGTTCATAAGACCATTAATTAAAAAAAAAAGTTTAGCTGATAATTGAAATACTTTTTTCTCTCTTATTAGGGTTGTTTATAAATTTGTTGTTTCAGGTGACACTAACAAGCCAAGAGCTTGGAGCAAATATGCAACAGAAAGTTCAACATTTAAGAAATTGAACCCAAATGAAAGTGCAAAAGAAAATCGTGCTAAGGAGGCCAAATTAAAGGAGAAGAAGGAGAAAAAGAAAAAAAAGGGGCCAATTCAAGATGAAGAGTTAGTCGAACAGCTTAAAAAAGTATGATTTAAAACATTTCATTTAATATTAAGGAAGTACTAACTTTTCTTTTCTTTTTTTTAGCACAAAGATGACCATGAGTTCATGCAATTCATGGAGCTTCATGGCAAAGTGGACAAATTGGTCGGAATCGATTCGGACGAGGAAGAAGAAAAGGAGGTAGAAGAGGGGAAGAAAGAAAATGTGGATGAAGAAGAGAGTAAAAAACTAGCTAATGACAAGGGGCTGTCAGATTTGGAGGTAAAATAAACATATTCTTTCATCATTGATACAATAATAAATCAATAAATCTCTGCAGTACTTGAAAGCAAAGATGAAAGGTACTGCTATCCTAACAGAACCTAAGCAGGAGAAAACAGAAGAAAAACCTAAATTTTTCACTTTGAAAATAAGTAACCTGCCGTACAAGGCAAAGAGAAAAGACATAGAAGAAATGTTACATTCAGTTCACATTGATTCATTAAGACTACCTAAACAAAAAGGAATTGCTTTTGTTGGGTTCAAGACGGAAAAACAGATGAAACAGGCTTTAATCTTCAACAAAACCTTTTTAAGTATGTTTATTCAATGCATATTTTTGTTCTTTTTTATTAACTTTTTATGTTGTTTTGATACTAGATGGTCATAGAATACAGATTACTGAGCACAAAAAGAATAAAGAAGAAGAGGTCTCTTCAGTTCCAAAGAAGTAAGTTTTGACAATTTTAATTATTTAAATTCGTGCTGTAATGAATTATATGTTTCTAAGATGGCAGAAACAGGAATCCGAAATGGACAGCGTAGAAAGCATCGCAGAATCAGGGAGGATTTTCGTTAGGAACCTTCCGTATACGGTTTCAGAAGACGATCTTCAAGCTGCTTTCGGAAAATTCGGCCAAATATCAGAGTTGGTCTATCCGGTTGATAGAACGACGAGGGAGCACAAGGGGTATGCACTCGTGACTTATTTATTTCCTCAAGATGCTGCCTCAGCTTTCGGGGAGTTGGACGGAAACGTCTTTCACGGCCGAATGCTTCATCTTCTCCCTGCAAAGTCCAAGGATGATATTGAAGAGGCTGAAGGTAATTTTTATGTACAATTATTCAGAAATCGTGAGATGCAGTCTGGAGTGATGTAGGTTTCAGAAAAACATTTTCTTTATCGTGCCGATGTTTCGATGTTTATTGAGATCATCTTCAGGGCCTGGGATTTACAAACAATGTTTGTAGGCACTGAAGATGATCTCAATAAAGATCGAAACGTTGGCACGATAAAGAAAATGTTTTTCTGAAACCTACATCACACCAGACCGCATCTCACGATTTCTGAATAATTATCGATTAACAGTCACTAATCACCACACATTTATGTACAATGTTCAATAAACACAATTAGCTAAAAATTTACAATAAATTGCAGATGAAAGTTCTAACTTTAAAAAGAAAAAGATGAAGAATTTAAAGAAGCAGTCTGGATTCTCTCACACCTGGAATTCCCTTTTTCTAGATATTAATGCAGTTGCTGATGTAATTGCTGAAAAGTACAATGCAACAAAGGAAGAAGTATGCTTTTCAATATGTTTCTGGTTTTAAAAATTTTTCCAGTTTTAATTTTACAATCTTGGTCAGGTTCTAACCGGTTCAAATGCGGCAGTAAGAATGGCTCTAGCTGAAACCCAGCTAGTTGCAGAGACAAAACAGTTTTTAGTCGATAACGGCGTTCAACTCGACTCTTTCAACCAGGAAGTTAAAAGTAGATCAAAAACAGTTATTCTAGTTAAAAATCTACCAGCCAAGACCACTGCATCTGAAATAAGGGAGTTATTCATTAAATACGGCGAGCTAGGACGAGTCATTCTTCCTCCAAGTGGAATAACTGGTTAATTATTTCATCATTTCTTTCACAAGAGAAACACAACAATTAAAATTTAATATTTTTCAGGCATTGTGGAGTTCCTTGAGCCATCAGAAGCAAAAATTGCTTTTAGAAAATTGGCCTATTCAAAATTTAAGCATCTGCCTCTTTATTTGGAATGGGCTCCTGAAGATTCTTTAAAAGTTAAAGTGAAAAGTTAGTATTTTAAAATATTTTCTTCTGTAAATTTTACTAAATTTTGTTTTCAAGATGAAAAAGACGAAAATGAAGACAGCAAAGTAAACGTTAAAAAAGAGGAAGATGAAGAAGAATTGATACCAGAAGAAGATACAGTTTTATTTGTTAAAAATCTAAATTTCGATGCGACGGAAGAAGATTTGAGAAAGGTATTTCCCTTTTTGCCCTTTTTAACAATTGGATTTATTTTTTTATTTTCTTTAAAGCATTTCGAGGAAGTCGGGAAACTCGCAAGTGTCACAGTGGCGAGAAAGAAAGATCCAAAAAAACCTGGAGCGACTTTATCAATGGGATATGGTTTCGTGCAATTTTACCACAAATCAGCATTGGACGAAGCGTTGAAAAGACTCCAAGGCACAACCCTCATGGGCCATCAGCTAGAATTAAAGCGTTCTAACCGCACTTTGAAGTACATACATCATTTTGTAAATAAATTTATTTAAAATAATCAATTTTATTGTATTTGTTTTAGAGATACGGAAACTGTCAAACGAAAATTTACAAATATGTCCAAACAAACTGGTACAAAGATTTTAGTAAGGAACATTCCTTTTCAAGCTACAACTGCAGAGATATCCGAGTTGTTCAAGTATTAAATTCCCTAATTTATAAACATTTTCATTGCTTAATTCGTTCAAATTTTAGAACATTTGGAGAACTTAAGTTTGTGAGGCTTCCAAAGAAACTAGTTGGTACCGGATCCCACAGAGGATTTGCGTTTGTTGAATTCATGACAAAACAAGATGCAAAGGTATATTTTTAAATATTTATTCTATATTCTAGAAACATTATTTTACATTACTTTATTAATTCTATTGACAAATTAGAGGGCGATGGAGTCATTGGGACAGAGTACTCACTTGCTTGGCAGGCGTCTTGTCCTTGAGTGGGCAGAGACAGAGGAAGACGTTAACCAATTGAGGATCAAGACAGCTAAGCACTTCCATCAAGGTTGGTTTTCAAAATTGTATATTTTTATAAATATCTAAAACTTAAATTTTTATCTTTCATCAGATTCAAATAAAAGGATGAAATTTGATAGTGCGGCAGGAAAAGAAAGAGATGAAGAGGCTGAAATGGAATTTTAGATTATATTTATTATTTAAGCATGTAAATAATTCAATTTGTACATATAACTTGTAAATATCAAATCAATTATGATTTATTAAATTTTAAATAAAAAATTTTAATTAAATAAAAAGACAAAACTAGTTCTACTTCTGTATAAATACCTACTGTGTACTGAAGAAGATGGTGAAATACCAAATGTGCTCAACAGACAGAATCAGTGAGACTAAGCAGACCAGGAAGATTGGGTATTAGACAAAATAATTAAAAAGGAAAAAGCAAGAAGAAATAAACTAAATATTTTAGAATACTTACTTCCTGTCCGACTGTAAAAAATTTATGTACAAAGTGCATAATTGATAAAATTACAACATAGACTTACCAATGAAGAGAGCGAAGCATATCTAATAGAAAATAAGCACACACATATTTTCTCCACTTCACGGAAAAACATTGAATCATGGATATGTAATCTTATACTAATACCCCCTACCTAGCCTTCACCTACTATATATAAGCTAACTAACTAACCTAACTTGTCCCTACTATATACTGGAGGGCTAAAACTAACCAAACCTAACCTATCCCTACTTTATACAGGAGGGCTAACCCTAATCTTATCTAACCTAACCTAACCCATCCCTACTATAAACCGAAAAGTTAAACCTAACCCTACCCAACTATATACAAAAGGGCTAAAACTAAACTAAATTATACTCTAATATATACTGAGAGTTAACCCTAATCCATCCTTTTTAAACTGCTCAAAAATGAATAGGGATATTTGTAATTTATTCTTATTCTATAAATTTTGATTAAATTAACTGATATATATTCTTATTAGTTGGATAAAACAAAATAGGAAAATACAAACAAAACTGTTAATCCTCCTTTTAATAATGGATTTACTTAATAATAGTAAACTTGAAGATTACTTATTGTCTAAACAAACACTTTTTCTCGTATTTTCACCATTTTAATCCATTTTATTCTCTTTAACCATGGAGAGACATCATCTTTAACTAGAAGTTTGCAATATTATTGTGAGAATGAGTTATTGAGGTCACTGGCAAGTGGGTATCGCAGAGGCAGTTAGTGTTTCTCATAGCATGGTCTCCCACCTTTTAGCCCAATTCCGAGAGACTTGATGTGCCAATTATGGTAGTGGATCTCAGCGCATTATGATGCTAAGGGAGGACAGGAATATTGCCATTGCCGCAAGACGGAACCCTTTCCATAGTGCCTGCCAAATGAAGTACAAAATGTTTTGGCCAAGCCTTTGCCAACATAAACAATACGCAATTGTTTGTGGGGAGTTGGCCTCACATGAAATGCCCCTTTGAGATGACCTGCAGCAATAGCCCGCCACCAGCAACTCAGAAGAATATGGTGCAGCAAGCGCCTAGAAGAGAACACCAATTGGAATGGATTATGTTTACTGATGAGCCATGTTTCTGTCTGTATAGAGATAGCAGGCTCCAAAGAGTCTACCGAGAACAGGGAATATGTACAATGCCTCAGTTCATACTCCTTCAGTGCAGTTTGGAGGAGACGGTGAATGGTCTCGGCTGGAATTTACACTGGAGGTTGAACTTGTCCTTGATGTCCAAGAAATTATCTAGGAATACATGAGGCAATTCCTCAAACCAGGGAACTCATTGGCAGGGCTTTTCAATTTCTGCATGACAATGCTAGACCTCATCGCAGAAGTTTTTCATAAATGTTTAGAAAACCTGGAAATGTCCTAGCTGCCCCTTCCCCCAGCGAGGTAGTCTTGACCCCTTGGGGCTGAGGTGCCTCTACACCAACACTGCGGCAGTAACACCCTTCTGTCATATAAGGAGGTGCGTCAGCTCTCATCTTGAGAATCAAAACATCCAATAAGGCCAAAAAGGCTAGGTGCGAAGATCCTCATTGTCCTTTTTAGGACGACTGAGTATACGGGAAAGCAATGCTCGTTTATACATAATTAATTGTTTAAAAAATTATTGTGTCCAATAAACAAAATTATGAAATTAGAATCTTTTATTTTGCTATTTTTAAAAATCCCTTAATTAAATTTTCCTTCAATAAAAACATATTAATTTCTAATAAATTTTAATGCAATTTATAATAAAAATAAAATAAACATCCTAGGGAAACTAAACTACAAAATTGGCAATATCCCTGTTCATTTTTGAGCAGTTTATATACAGGAGAGCTAACCCTAACTATACCCCAGCCACAACTAACCAAACCTAACCTAATTTTAAATGCAACGTGCCTTTTTAAACATCTTGAAAAATTATGCAAACTTTTTAAATTATTTGTTTCATTAGCAGTAAGTGAATTAGTGCAGTTATCTCACTGTAAAAATTATTGATTTTTAAATCAGTTTAACTTAACCTATTTTTGTGGTGCAAGACCCTACATTTCTCTAAACAACTAGATAAGTGAATACCAAAATTTAAAGATAACATTTAAAAAACATATTACTTCATTGAATCCGATGAAATGTCAGCTCATTGAACAAAAAATTACTACAAAAATTTAATTTGTACTAAAGGTCTAAACTTTAAAATCACTCTAAGTGAAATGTATTTCATATTTGCTTCAAATTACATGTATAGCTACATATTTGCCGGACATTTACAGGGAATAGTGTGTAATTTAGATTTAAGAACACTCGTTTGCTGCTTATAAATTTAGCTTTACGTCGTTATATGACCTGGGATTAATAGTGTTCAGTGTTATAATTTAAGTATATTCCTTCTTTAATTTAGCAATTTTGATTTTGGACTATTGTTTGTTTAAATTTACAAACTGTAACACTATATTTGAATCGGTTAAAACGCGATTTTAATCAATTTTCTCCTCTCTGGACGTCAATTTGTCCACACTACGATTCGAAGCTCGCGAAAACAACGGCCCGGGGGGCTTGGACGAAGGTGAAAAGTGAGTTTGGTGTCCATGGTGGGAGTCTTGGAGCGGTACTCCTCAAGATCTTTCAGTCTCTAAGTGGAAAGTGTTCTGTTATGACATACCGCAACCATTCCGACTATTAACTGACATCGTCGCCCGTTCACGTCTTCACAACAGGCAAAGGTGAGCCTGACAATACTTTCAGAATTATACCAATTCAAGCAATCTCTGATTTTTATTAAAATAATTAAGTTTTTAATGTCGACGCAATAAGATAAACATGATTCGATTATCTATTGATTTTAAAAATATCCCAAGTCAATCTTAATATTCAATAGAACTTAGACTTACACAAAATCTTCTATTTTTCTTTCTTCGTTTCTGATGTCCTTTTATTGCCTTCTTTATGGTTTGTTTAATTTGTGTTATTTTCTGGTCTTTACTTAAAGGTGTTTTCTATGTTTGTTCATTCGAAATTTTTTAAAGAAAATGTATAAATGTAGCAAAATTTATATTTCTTTTCTCGTTTCTCAGAATAAAAATATACGACGGCAAATATAATTTTATGGCCGTACGATCTTTTACAGAATGAAAGCTCATATTGAATACTAAGTCTAGATGTCTTTAAAAAATTTTCCAAGTGAAAACTTTCGTTTGAACTTTTTGGTGGATTCAAAAGATTTTCAACTGGGAATCCTTGCTATTTTTCGTTATTTAATCTTCGGTTTATTTAATTTTTAATTGTGGTCAGCTAGTCTTTGGCCTGATCATCCAGGTTCAGCGAGTACAGGCGGATCCAGGATGATCGAAAGATATCGGTGAGGTTCAGCCCTTTGGCGCATGTATCCAGTCCATCACATAAAATGCAATTAGTTCAAAAAAATTACTCAATTTTCAAGTAAACATCCTCTCTACTGTCTATGCTAGTTAGGAGTTATCAGACTACACACATAAAAAACAAAATATTTCTTTAAAATGTCTACAAACCTCTTCGACTTGGCAAGGGCACTTGTAAATTTTAAAAAATTCTAATCTAAATGGCCCGGCAAAAGACTGTTAAATAAAAAACATTATATATTTACTGTATAATACAAATTTATCATTTTTTATATTAATAATATAAAATATATTCATAAACATTTTGAACTTTAGATCATGTTTTTTTGACTGGTAAAAATTTAGCGGTTAATACGGCTAAAATATTACGTTTTTAAAATGCTTAGATCTTTTAGAGTATTTAATTATATCTCGTCCCTTACACATCATCTTCAGGGTGGCACTATTTTTTTAAATTGAAATAAAAATGTACTCTTTTGGATTTTTTTAAACAGAAATCAATCTTTTAATTACATTTTGCATCAAATTAACGGGCAACTCTCGTCACGAACGACTAAACTTACATAACTGTTAATAAATAAATATACTAAAAATTAATTATTACTTTCGATACGTTTAATTAATTAGAACCTACAGATCCATAGAGAACATTCGGAAAAATGCGTGAAAAATTACATAAAATCACTTCCATGTTGGAAAATGCCAAAGTTAATTACGAGGGATATCCATAAGTAGATAATTATTTTACTTAATTAATTAGTTAATAAGTAACAAAACAATTAGTTTATTAATAAACTATTTTAGAGGGGCGTCGGTGGCCGCAACGGTTTAGGCGTTGACACGGCGCTCATCACTGTAAGGTAAAGGTCCCGGGTTCGAATCCAGCGACCCTGCGTACGAACCCCACATACATTCAAATGGGCTTTTTTTTCAAAAACACCGGCACCCTGAGGGTTTATACGACCTCTGATGTTGCGAACCCTCGTAAAAATAAATAAATAAAAAATAAACCATTTTCATTTCGTAATCTATTGTATAACCGCTATGATTGTTTACGCACCTTTGTTGTAAATTCTGTATCCACTTTTGTTTGTTCTGTTAAGAAATAAATAAGTCAACGTTAGTTATGATTGTTGGATTTTTTCGGTGAAACTTTATTGTTTATTGATTGAGTGTATTTGACGGTCGCACAGCGAAAGCAAACGAATGTTATACAATTATTTTATTTCTTTCAAATGACCATGGACATACTGGACCTTGTAAAAAAATTAATTTATTTCGAACGAATCTTATACATGATCGTTTATAATTTCAAAAAAATAATTTATCCTTTTCCGCTCCTCTTGGAACTAATATAGAAGAAAGTTTCCGACCTGTCCACTCCGAGTGATTAGAGTAAGTTTATGGAATACGTAATAGGATAAATGTTTATCATCCCCATTAGTACTTTCACCTAATCGGTAATTTTTCGAGTCGTCGGATGAGACAGCTTTTCGTTGTGCATTATCAATGGTTTAAAAAATGTAATAAAATAAATTAATGGATGTTGAGTTTATAAATAATTGTAGGTACAAAACAGCCCGATGTTTCAGGTTGGAAAATAGACATCTAGCCAAATGAAATTACCTCTAAAGGATTATGAATATAGAAATATTAAAATTTTAAATAAGACCAAAAGTAAATATTTATTCAACAACAGCCCACAAAAGACATCACTTGATTTACAAACTTTTATCTATTTTATATTGATCAAATACAAACGCCATTATTCTAATATTGAAAGTTTACAAAATTTATACCTAATTTACAATTCGAAACATATACACGTTTTAATGACACCAAAAAGGTTTTCTTTAATAATCATGGGTTGGATGAACACCATATGATGCTGTTAAACAAAACATAAGTTTTTAATTAAAAACTAGTATACAATTTTTGTGTTTTTTATCGTAGTTTTCAATCAATTGAATTGTACGAATCAATTAACTTCAATTTTGATCAAATCAGGGTCACAGAGAACAGGTTTCTTCTTTCAAGACTTTTATCACAATCATATTTTTGTTATTAATCCTCGATCTACATCATAATAAATAGTTTTGAATATCCACACACCACAATCAGCTTTTGGAGACATCACAAATTGTTGTTTTTTTTTTACAACACTTACCAGTAATCACAGGAAAATTAGGTTTATGTTACCTGAAAAAAGGCCAAATTTTCTTAGTTATCTTGAATTTTTCTTAAATTGTGCAGGCAGCAAGTTTTACGTACTACACTATATATTTTTACGAATTAAAAATGGAAAAAAGTATTCATAGTGTTCACATATAGTGTCTCACATTCCAAAGGTATATTTCAATTATATTGAGAACAATTTATCAGCTTTGATAATAAATTAATTAAATGGCCAGTCCCAAACGAAAATATCGTCTATTATCCCTACGAAAGATTTACATTCAATATATTTTCTCCCAAGCACAATAGATTTATACAATTTGACACCTACGTAACTAACCTTTTTAAACTTTACATAATTCTTAACAGTGAATGCTTTCACCTGTTATGGATTAACATAAAATAGATTGATTAGACTGTTAGATGAAAAGTCTTTTTAATGACAGCATTAAGTTTAACAGTTAATTGTATTTTTCCCTCCATTCCGTATTTTGGGTAACACTGGGGGCAACACTGATTCCGGAAAGGGAGGTTGTGTAGTTTAACGCGTTAAAATTCTTTCCAAGAGCGTTAAAAACCTTTTTTAGATTTTAGAATAATGACTATAAAAAATCCATTTTGTCTCCCATAGGATATTTTGATCGAAAATTTGCTTATGTACATTTCATCGTCATATTTTTTAAACCTATAATAGCTTAAAGTTCGGCAAATATTTGATTGGGGTATCCATTTGTACAATTTTATTTTTTACCTCCAAGTTTTAGTAATGAAAACCGATATTGACAAAATATTTCAGTGAATGTTTGAGAATCACCTAATTCCAGGCAATTTGGACAAAATTACGAATAAAAATTTCTATCAAAACCAGCAAACGAACCAAGAAAAAAAGAAACTTCATACAGGCCGTTATGCTGTCCGCAAATCATTGTAAAATTGAAAAGCTTATCCTTTCAAGATATTTTAATATCCAAAATTTTATAATAGAGCTGCAGCTATCAAACAGGCAGTATCTATACCACAGTTTTTATATATATTATATATATTTACATATTGTGTATTTTATTAATTATCAATAATTTGTTTAGGTCAAAAAATTTGGATGATTTAACACTAAGAGTTTTTATAGTCGTGTATTTTAAATTACAAAAACAATTCAATGTATTAAGTAAAAAATGTTACTTTACGGAATCAGTGTTGCCTCCAGTGTTGCCTAAACATGGGTTGGTGGGAAAAAAACGGTGTTGGGAATGTTAATAGAACAAACGGCACATATTCAAAATTGGATACCAATACGAATGTTGGAAAGAAAGTTAATGATCTTAGTTTTGTTCATCAAAACGACTTACTTGCCGTTAAGTCGCAGATATTGGGAAAATCATTAGATATGGGAGAATCCGGAAAATACTGGCTCATCTGTGATTTACATTTGCATTTATCGGTATGAAGCCGAGTGGAAATCGCAACGGGTACAATCAGTCTCGATCTATGATATTGAAGGCCAATAAACCGGTCGTTGAAATATGCAATTATGGACAAAGGCGCCGGAAGGTAACGGTGAAAGACATATAACTTGCGCAACAATTTTCCATTACGCAAATGGGTGGTTCATCTTCCATTCCAAACCATTCACACGTCCCTCCTTACGAAATATGAGGAACTTACGCACGTAGAAGACTCGTTTCCAAAACCAAATTTGTCCAATAGAGCTTCCGAGGGATCTCCTTCAAATGGGGACAGTACAAATGAAATTTAAAAAACAACGAATATTCTTCGGACGCTTTTCTAAAACCCTGTAATAAGCTTCTGTTAATAAGCTAGTTTCTAATTCCCATCTGAGTACTTAGAGAGTGGTCGGCTTCGGAAAGTTTTTTTTTTACCACGCAATGAACAGATCGGTTAAAAAGTAAATAGCCATTTTAATGTTTAAAGAATCTACAGACCAGTTAACTAAAATAATCATTTGCTAAAAGAAAGAAACTTTAAACGTCCAAAATTGAGTTTATTTCACAATTTTTCACATCTATATGAAAACTTGTTTAATATATACAAATTTAACATTTATAAAGTTTATAAACGAGTAATTTACTCCTATAAAATAAATAGTGTAATTACAAATACATTTGTTTAGTAATATGCAAAGTAATTAAGAAGATTAATCCTTGTGTAAGGTATTGGTTGAATAAAAAAGTCAGTGTCACGAGCGGGATTCGAACCCACGACCTTCGGCTAAATATGCCGCTGCTCTACCACTTGAGCTATCGTGACTTCGATCCACTCGTATCTCAACCAATACCTTACATAAATTCACTAGTTTTCGTGGTCCGCTTGGCCAATTAATATCATTCAATTAATTAAGGTTTTTAGTTGAGATAAAAAAGTCAGTGTCACGAGCGGGATTCGAACCCACGATCTTCGGCTAAATACGCCGCTACTCTACCACTTGAGCTACCGTGACTTCGATCCACTCGGGCAGCAACTTCCCATCTCAACCACGCCTTTTGGATTTGCCATCCTTTTTGCCATTTTTCAAATGTCGTGTAATCTATTTGATTCTCGGCCACCTTACATAAAGATTAATTAATTGAAGAATATTATTATGACCACGAAATCTAATGGATGTAATTAAGCAGATTATTGTGGATCAGTGTGTTGTTTAGCTAAATTTCCGTTCTGTATGGTTTTTGATTATGTGTAGTTCAAAAGTTCAAGTTTTTGACAATGATTTCCAATCTAATCCAAAAATGTTTAATTACATTTAAACCAATATTTTTATGATTCAATAAGCGCATGCTTATGGTAATAGCACTCCTATAGTCCTAACTTTTTAAAATTAAATTATGTAGACTATAATGATAAATTGCTTTACCTGTTAGGGTTTTTCGCCTCAACGGAACTTGTTTGTGTGTCATCCTCAATGTCTCTAATTGTTCTTTCAGTACAGTCAACAGGTTGTTTTGAGCGAGTTCTCGAACATGTTTCAAGGTTGGCACATCTCACTTATTTTTAGAGCACTGTCAAGAAACGAAAAGTCCGGTTAGATGATTCAAAAGGAGAGAAAGAGGAAGACTGTAAAAGTAAAACCTTGATCCAGACCCCGACCTCCTCCGGCCAGAGGCCAAACACGCTCATCATCCCGATTGCTCCGCGCTTCGACCCAGGTCGAGAACGATTGCTTTTGGACGCCTCTCAAAAATTATTCGAAGAATTGAATAATTCGACATTCCTTAAAAGAAATTTCGAAAGAAGAAACTGACCGTTTGACCCCAAGGCCTCGAGCACGAAGACAGATAAAAATTTATGTTGTACTGGGGAAGATTTCTTAAAGATTAACTGTTCACCTTCATCGTTGATTCATTTACAAAACGGGCTGCGTCCTTAGCCTCTTGCTTTCGTATTTTTTAATGGCCTTCCTGATGCTCTAGATTTCGTAATTTTCTGCTCTAATATATTAATTGAAATCTATTCTGAAGATTTTTCGGTATTAATTATTTATATTATATATATATTTGATTATTTTGTATTATTATTATTATTTTATTTTTTATTATATATATTTTTTTGATTATTCTGAAGATTATTGCGGTCTGGTGTGACGTAGGTTTTAGAAAAACATTTTCTTTATCGTGCCAACGTTTCGATCTTTGTTGAGATCATCTTCAGGGCCTGGGATTTATAAACATTGTTTATATTTTATAAATACATGTAGCATGTTAAAAAATGAATTTATACAATGCTAGAAATTTTAGATAAAAAAAAATTGAATTTATACAATGCTAGAAAATTTTAGATTCAATCAAAGTATCTGTTTTCCGTGTAGATGTGTCATCCTTGTCTGTCGTGTTGAGAGTGCACTCTTTTTTTAAATCTAAAATTTCCTAGCATTGTATAAATTCATTTTTTTGAATCTAAAATTTTCTACCAATGTATATATATTCATTTGTTGATCTCAATTTTCCAGCATTTATAAATTCATTTTTTTACCTAAATTTTCTGGCATTGTATAAATTCATTTTTTTGATCTAAAATTTTCTAGCATTGTATAAATTCAATTTTTTTAATCTAAAATATTCTAGCATTGTATAAATTCATTTTTTATCTCAATTTTCCAGCATTGTATAAATTATTTTTTTTAATCTAAAATTTTCTAACGTATAAATTATTTTTTATCTAAAATTTTCTAGCATTGTATAAATTCATTTTTTTAATCTAAAATTTTCTAGCATATAAATTCATTTTTTTAATCTAAAATTTTCTACCAATGTATATATTCATTTTTTTAATCTAAATTTTCTGGCATTGTATAAATTCATTTTTTTTATCTAAAATTTTCTAGCATTGTATAAATTCATTTTTTTATCTAAAATTTTCTAGCATTGTATAAATTCATTTTTTTTATCTAAAATTTTCTAGCATTGTATAAATTCAATTTTTTTAATCTAAAATATTCTAGCCTTGTATAAATTCATTTTTTATCTCAATTTCCCAGCATTGTATAAATTCTTTTTTTTTATCTAAAATTTTCTAGCATTGTATAAATTCTTTTTTACCTAAAATTTTCTAGCATTTTATTAATTCAATTTTTTATCTAAAATTTTTAGCATTGTATAAATTCATTTTTTTAATCTAAAATTTTCTAGCATTGTATAAATTCATTTTTTTAATCTAAAATTTTCTAGCATTGTATAAATTCATTTTTTTAATCTAAAATTTTCTAGCATTGTAGAGTGCCTTGTGAGTTGAACACTCAACACGACACACAAGAATGGATCATGTTCACAGAAAACAAACACTTTGAGCCCTGAAGATGATCTCAATAAAGATTGAAACGTTGGTACGATAAAGAAAATGTTTTTCTAAAACATACGTCACACCAGACAGCATCTCACGATTTCTGAATAATCATTAACGAAGGTCACTGAACACTGCACATTTCTATTCTGAAGATCATTCTGGCCAGTTCTCCATTTATATTTTAAAAAATTATTGCTCTCATTAGAATCAATGAATTTAAATAAATCAATAATCATAGTTTTTCGTAGTGGACGCAGGACGGGGAATAGGCAGATCTAGTTCTTTTGGGGCAGACGGTCAGTTTGTTAATATCAGCGTTTTTTTTATTATTCTAAAATTATTTCATCTTCTTAATTTTTTACTCAATTACAAACTCTGCTTAAGATCCTTAGAGACATCAAGTAACATTTTATTCTTAAACGCTTTAAAGCTCCATCATATTTAATCCGGACAATCACGACGACAGACCAAAAATTACGGCAGTTGGAGTAATTATTAGCAAGTAATGCTGTTAGTTCTCTAGCCCAACAACCCTGAAGAACGGTTCTCTAAATCCTCGGCTTTTGAATCATACATTCGTTCCAGGCATTTTGAAAATTGCACCAAATTAGATCCAAAAAATTTCGCCCTTACAAGGAACTCAAACATTCATACGCATTTTTGACTTAATCAATAATAATCTACAGTTGTCTTCTAATAATTTATGATAGTTCTTCAAACTTAGGTGCGATCTTATCTAACAGAGATGATTCTGTAGAGAGCGGCTTATTGTGTAACACCTGCGCGAGAGAGGACTGGATGCCCTATTATTTCACAGTTTCGGGTTATTTTTTGGGGGTAGGTGAATTAGGAATTTTAAGAGCGTATTGGATCGCAAAACAAGATTGTTCAGTCCTTGTCAGTTTTGCATGGTTTTCACTGGAATACCGCGGTTTAATTTTGAATTTTATACCGGAAAGCGCTAGTAGTTTTTGATTTACTTTAAATATTTTCAATGTATATATGTTATATTCGAGTGAATTCCCCCTGCTACCATCTTCAGAAGAGTTGTAATCAATGCAGAATTTTTTTAAAACTTAAATCGCAAAGAATGATTGTGTGTTACATTAGATCAGGATTTTTCGATCTTTTTTCTATGCAACAAATGTTGAAATGGTTGATATCATGATTTTATTTTAGTCGAGACTTTCTTAACGGAATCTTTTGTCTTTAGTGAAACCCAGAACCCGACATTCTAAAATTTTCCCTATCCTTGGATTATGAGGAAACGTATAGTTCGTTAAAAAGATTTAATCATCAAGTTCATTAAAGCTTATTTCTTATTTGCTTTTTATATTTGCTTGCACCTATCCAAGTGATTTGTTTAATCCTGTGTGAATAACTTGATTCATTTTGCAATATTGCTTCTTTTTTATGGAGTTTAAAAGTTTACAGATTTCTGGTCCTTCTGGTGTTGCTTAAATACCTTGCCTAATTTATGAGCGGATTTCCCGTTGTCCCGTTCATCCTGAGACACAGATCAGATTCAATTCCTTCCTTATGCCAAGCATTTAACAAATCAGATCCATTTTGACTGACTATCCTGGAGTGTTAGTTCACCAAGTATGAGTAACTTGATCAATTCTGCAATAGCTACTTTTTTGTGGTAGTTTGAAATTGTACAGATTTCTGGTCCTCCTGGTGTTGATTAAAGATAATTAATTATTAATTTCTCTTGCCTAGTTTCTCAACATAATTCTTATGTTCTGTACGTCCTGGGGCACAGATCAGATTCAATTCCTTCCTTATGCCAAGCATTTAAAAATCAGATCCATTTTGACTGACTATCCTGGAGTGTTGTTTCACCAAGTATGAGTAACTTCATCAATTCTGCAATAGCTACTTTTTTATGGCAGTTTGAAATTGTACAGATTTCTGGCCCTCCTTGTGTTGATTAAAGATTTCCTTTGCCTAGTTTTTCAGCATAATTCTTCATGCTCTGTACGTCCTGGGACGCAGAACAGATTCAATTATTTCCTGATGCCAAGTACTTAACAAATCGGAACCATTAATCTCTACTAGGTATATTAGAGACTTTTTTTTACCTGCATCCATCCTAGAGATTTGTTTCACCGAGTACGACTAACTTGATTCATTTTACAATATTGCTTATTTTTTATGGAGTTTGAAATTTTACAGATTTCTGGTCCTACTGGAGTTGCTTAAAAACTTCCATTGCCTAGTTTATCAGCATATTTCTCGTTGTCGCGTTCGTCCTGGGACCATCAGATTCATCCTGGAGTGTTGTTTCACCAAGTATGAATAACTTGATTAATCCCTGTTAATGGCAGTTTGAATTTTAATAGAAATTTTTTAAATGAATAGAAGAATATTAATAAATATGTCCTAGTGGTGTTGCTTAGGACCAACCTTGTATATTCTAACAGCACCATTTTCGGTTGTATTCTGGGACCCAAACCAAAGTCAATTTTCCCTTATTCCTATTTCCCCCAATACTGTACAGTTTTGCAAACTGTCAACGGTTGAACTGATTTCATAGCAACGAAAATTCCAAATTGGTAGACAAAATAAAAAGCTATATGGATCAGCAAGTTTGTACATTAAGAAAACGTGTAAAGGATTGAGCGGAGTTTTACAAATTCAACGAAAACGTTTAAGCCCTCAGATGCCAAATGTAATATTTTTCATGTGAATCTAAAAGATTTATCGTATTTTATTACCCAAGATTGTGGGAGCTAAAAAATTTGCTTCACTTTTTATCTGAAATGAGTTTTTAAAACTCTCTTTTTTCAAGTTGTCCTTAATTAGCTAATTAGTTGTTTTATTGTGCCATGATGTTGCTTCTGACTGGTTGCATCATCTGGCTTGAATCAGCAGATCAAACCCAACAAAAATCATGACATCGACTGTAATTATCCTTGTACATTAAGGGATTTGCAAAACAAAATTTCTTCATCTGGTTCGTGTTTACTTCATTTTATCTTCAATCTACATTATTACACCTAGTTTTGTAAACAAGTTATTCAAACTTTCTGATTCTATTTTATCATTTGAAACGGCATTACATTAAAATATGTAATGATGGTTTTTAAAGGGTAAAGAGTCGTCAGTTGGCCTTGGGATTGTAAAATAAGGATTTTTTAAAATTTAATACAGGTGGTGTGTTGCTTCATGCTTTCATGACCTTATCCTCTCATTATATTTCTACTATAAAACTGTG